GGCTTTGGAATCTGTCCTGGAACTAGCTCTTGTAGACCAGGCTGGTCTCAAACTCACAGAGATCCTCCTGCCTCTGCCTCCCGAGTGCTGAGATTAAAGGCATGCGCCACCAATGCCCGGCTCAGAGACAGTTTTTTTAATAATAAGAGCAATGAAATCTTAATCTTGGTCTTAATTTCTTCAGTAGCAAGTGGTTTATTAGTGTTCTTTGCATAAAAAAGAAAAAGATTTATTTTTATTACTTTCTATAAATTACATGTGTTTGCCCAAATTTGTGTGTGGGTCATGTGCACATGACTGTGGGAGCCTGCAGAGCCCAGAGGTCAGATCTCCTGTAGTGTACACAGTTACTTTTCAGGTGGTTAGTTGTGCACCTCTTGACATGGATGCTGAGAACCCAGCTGGGGTTCTCTGCAAGAGCAGTAAATCTCTCCAGCTGCCAACTAGTGCTCTTGATGAGGGTGGGTGAGTATTCACTTCTAGTTATGCAGTGAGTGAGCGACAGAGAGTGAGAAGTGGAGCGACTTTGGCTCTTTAAAGAAACTTGCTATAAAAAGCAAAAGTGATAGAGACAGGAACAATGCACAGCCTAGAGATTTTTTTTTTTCCCATTGTGACACAGACAAGAAGACAAGAAAGGAAAGTTCCTATGCCTGTTTAAATCTAATGAGCCCTTCCATCCCCGATTCTGATCCTGTTAGTCCTCTCAGGACATTGGCTCCACCAGTTTCATCCTCTGTAATATTGTCTTTCTGGCCCTCTAGAATTAGTGTAACTCAAAACCAGCACCCAGAGTTGGGTATTTGCTTTTCCCAAGTGTTTCTGTATCAATGAACATTAGTCCTTGTCTTAGTCAGTGCTCTGTTGCTGTGAAGAAACACCAAGACCATGGCAACTCTTATGAAAGAAAGCATTTAATTGGGGCTTGCTTAGTATTTCAGAGGTTTAGTCCATTGTCATCATGGTGGGAAGCTTGGTGGCACCCAGGCACACATGGTGCTGGAGAAGGAGCTGAGAGCTCTACATCTGGATCTGCAGGCAGCAGGAAGAGAGAGACACTGTGCCTGGCTTGAGCTTCTGGAACCCAGAGTCCACCTCCAGTGACACTTCGTCCAAGGCCACACCTCCTAATTCATTCAAATAGTGCCACTCCCTGGTGACCAAACATTAAGATCTGAGAGCCTGTGGGGGTCATTCTCATTCAAACCACCACAGTCCCCTAGAGAAAAACCCTAGGACAATTTATATTAGGGGCTGGAGAGATGGCTCAGTGGTTAGGAGCATACAGTGCTTTTCCAGAGGACAGGATTCCATTCCCAGCACCCACATGGCAACTCACAACTGTCTGTAACTCCAGTTCCAGGAAATTTGATGCCTTATTCTGGCTTCCATAGGCACCAGGCACACATGTGGTGCACAGACGTACACAAAGGCAAAACATGCATATATATTAAAGAAGTTCATATGATGTGTATGGGGTATAGCAATCATAGGCAGGCTGTCATTGTTCATGTGACTCTGACTTATGTGTGACAACAGGCAAGAAGCCATGTCTGCCTAATTATAGCAGCTTGAGGTGGCTCTTTTTCATGGACCTGGAATGTTATGCTTATAAATGAGAAAAAAAGCTTAATTAATATGATAAACACATTTCAGTGCTCTCTTAAAACTGTTACTCAGGAAATTAAAAAGAAAAACAGAAGAGATCTTAGTAGCTTTTGTTTAATCCTTCCCAGGGAATCCCATTTGAATGAATGAATAAATGAGTGAATAACTTGAATAACTGAATGAATTTATCATAGCTTGAAATCTGTGAGTAAAACTTTTTATGAGAAATCTGGTTATTTTAATAACCATGTGTTTTAAAAAACTCACACACACACACACACACACACACACACACAATTTGTTTTTGGGCTTAGGCTATTACCTTTGTGGACTTGGCCATTCTTATTGCCTCTGATTTTTAAAAATTATCATTATATTTTATGTGTATGGTTATTTTCCCTTCATGTATGTCTGTATTCTGTGTATGCCTGGTGCCCTCTGAGACCAGAAAAGGGCATAGGATTCAGATCCCCTGAACTGGAGTTACAGAAGATTGAGAGCCACCATTGTGGGTGCTGGGAATGGAACCTGGGTCCTGCAGAAGAGTGACAAGTTCTCTTAACTGCTGAGCCATCTTTCCAGCCCTCTACCTCTGATTTTTGAAGGGCTATATTGAAGCCAAATCTTGGTTATTTAGTGAGGTTTGTGGGATCTAAGACATGACAGCATGCCAGGGGAACTCAGTAAGGAGCAAGCATTCCAGACTCTTCTAGCAACTTCTCTATGAGAGTACAACCCAATTATTTCTCATCAGTGCAATTACTTTCACCTAAGAGATCCAAGATTGGTTAACTTATGTGTTACTGTAGTTTAAATGGCAAAGAATTTATCTTTGAGTTAGATTCTTAGTGGTAAGTTCCACTGATGTAAATGCCAAGAAATTCTTTCTTCAGAGTCTCAGGGACCCTGAGTCTTATTCTTTACCCACAGATGGGAATTTTGATCTTTAATGTAAATTATCCAGTATCTGTAGAAAAAGCCAACTGTGTATGTTGGCATTTATCCTTTCTGTCTGGGTGGCTATGACAGCAGATGTCTCATCACTGGAATGTTATTGACAATGGGCATATGCTGGTTAGTTTCTGTCAACTTGACACAAACTACAGTCTCCTCTAGAAAGGGAATCTCAGTTCAGGTGTTAGCTCTATCACAGTGGCCTGGGGCATTCATTCTATGGGGGCATTTTCTTGATTAATGTTCGTTATTGGAGGGCCCAGTGTACTGTGGGTGGTACCATGTCTGGGCTGGTGGTCCTGGGCTATAGAGGACAGCAAGCTGAACAAAGCCATGGAGAAGAGTGTTCCTCCATGGTCTCTGCTTCTACTTCCTGCTTTCAGATTCCTGCCCTGACTTACCCAATAATAGACTAACCCACAACCCAAATGAACCCCTTCCTCCTGTATGTGGTTTTGGTCAGTGTTTTATTGCACCAACTGAAAGCATTCTAGGAGAGAGTACAAGGTCAAGATGATGAGTGTGATAATTCATCTGTTATCGTTCTTTGAGTGGTCCTCTCTAACCCCACTGAGAGCATGGGCAGGAGTCTTTACTGACTGCTTGGTGCTCCAATAGAACGCACGAATCCAAATATCCTTCTCATGGGGACATTCATGCTTACATTTTACGCTCTGTGTTAATTTCTACATCAGCTAACTTTGTCTACATCAGCTAATTTAAGTAAGGAGGATTGAGAATACTAACACCCCTCCAACTTCAAAGCAGAGTTCGTCTGGCTGAGACTTGGCAGGGGCAGAAATGATCATGGTGCCACTGATCTTACAGACCTCCAGAATTCTGCCATTGGGTCTTCTGGATTCCTGATGGCTTTGTATCTCTTTGGAACTGAAGTCCCCATGGGAGTACCTTTCCTGGATGGTCATGCTGAGGATTTAAAGAGTTAGTCTGTGGGAACTGCTTGGTCCATGGCCTGGCACAGTAAACTCTTAAGTAAAGGTAGATGGTCTCTTAATAGATGAATATTTGTTTCTTAGTGTCACTATAACAAAGTATCACTCTAGTGACTCAAAATGACAGCATCATATTCTGTCACAGTTGTAGTGCTAAGCTTTGGAAATCAAAGAGTTATCAGGGCCATGCTATTTCTCTGGTTTTGAGCATTTCTTTGCCTCTTGGAGTATTATTTTAAAATATTTATTTTATGTATATTATATATGTGTTTGCTGGTGTGAGTTATGTGTACCATATGTTGCAATACCCAGTGATGGCCAGAAAAGGGCATTGGATACGCTGGAACTGGATATGCAGGTGGTTATGAGCCACCATGTGGGTGCTGAGAACTGAACTCAGGTTCTTATGCAAAAGTAGTCAGTGCTCTTAACTGCTGGTCGATTTCGTTAGCCCTTTCTTCTAGTTTTTCTGAAGCCTATAGGATCCTTATTTGTTTCTATAAGTTGTAGTGATTCAAGACACCCTTTGGTTTGTAGATGTGTCAATCCACTTCCTGCCAGTATTGTCAGATGGACATATCCCAGCCCCCAGCTTATTCTCTGTCTTCCCTCAGTGTCTATGGAGGTTTGAATAAAAAGGACCTCATAGGCTTGGCCCCCAGTTGGCAGAACTGTTTGGAATGATTAGGAAGGTTCCGAAAGCCATGCTATTCTCAGTTCACACACTCTCTCTTTGCCTCCTACTTTTGGGTGTAAGAAAAGGATGTAAGAAAGCTTTTAGCCATGCCTTCCTGCCTGCTGCCATGCCTGCTGCTGTGTACCTTGTCATGGCTCTGCAGTCAGAAGCCCCAAATCAAACTTGTCTTTGATAAGTTGCCATTGTCAAAGGCAGCAGAAAAGTAATGAAGGCAGCCTCCTAAGTGCTAGCATTACATGCCTGAGTCATCTCAGCTGGCTGCTTTGAATCATCATTTGGTATTTGAATTCTTCTATGTGTTTTCCCCTAAAGGACAGTTGTATCTTCATTTTAACTAGGTTACATCCACAAAGACTGTTTTCAAACTAGATCAGATACACAGGTACCTGTAGCAAATCTTTTTGGGAGACACCATTTAAATTCCAATACACATTCTTTCCTTCACCCTATTGTGCCCAAGACCATTCACTGTTTTGTATTGTTTTTGCAAGACAGGTTTTTCTCTGTGTAACAGTCCTGGCTATCCTGGAACTCTTTGTAAACCAGGCTGGCCTTGAACTCGAAGAGATTGGCCTGTCTCTGCCTCCTGAGTGCTGGGATTAAGGGCGTGCACCACCACTGCTTGACTGACCATTCACTGTTAATGGGGGCACTCTAGTGAGTGTCTTCAACCGTGGTAATCAATTATAGAATTAACATTCCATGATGAAACCAGATTGTGTCTTTATCAGTCATTTGAGACAGTGACTTGCACTCATTGAGCTGGATACCAATTGATGCTTAAGAAAAACACACTCAAAAAACAAAACAAAACAAAAACAAAACAAAACAACAAAAAACCCCAAAACACGCTTTGTTTTACTAGTGTCTTTGACTTTTAGTGAGGTAGAGCTGTTTCTTGAGAAGGTATGTATTATGTTTACTTTAATCACATCATCTGTTGTTAGAGTGACTTTGTGTTTGAAAAGCTAGGTTAGAATCTTTTAATATTTTGACTACTTTAGTCTTGAGAAAGTTGATTCCCAACAATATTTGCTAATGTCTGTTTGTTACTCTGTCTTTTAAAAATCTATCTACAGATAAAATCATCGTGGGCAGCTTCATGGGCTACCTGAGAATCTTTAATCCCCATGCCGTAAAAACCGGAGATGGGCCTCAGGCTGAAGATTTACTTCTAGAAGTGCAGCTGCGGGACCCGGTGCTGCAAGTGGAAGTCGGCAAGTTTGTCTCGTGAGTAGAATTCTCAGAGTGTGGGAGTTGCCCTCTGGAGGATTATATCTGTTCCTTATGGTGACACTTTTATGGATTACAAATATTATTGCATGGATTATGTATGTTATAGATACATGTCATGCAGGCAAGCTTCATGTTCTAAATACTTTACATAGAAATGTACACTTAATGTGAAGTAACTTAGTGATTTATTTGTGTTTCTGTGTGTGTGTGTGTGTGTGTGTGTGTGTGTGTGTGTGTGTGTGTGTGTGTGTACGTGTGTGTGCAGGTGCACAGTCTGTATTTTCTTTTGAGAGAGTGAACCTGACCCTGGGGCTTGTAATTTCTTGGGTAGACTAGTCCAAAAGCCCGAGTAGTCCTTCTGTTTCTGCTCCCATTGGAGCTGGGTTACAGCTGTGTGAAGGGTGCCTCCTTGTACGGGTGCTGGGAACTGTGTGGTAGTCCTCATGATTGCCCAGCAAGCTCACCTCACTACTGAGAACAGTTTTATAGTAATGCACTTAATATATTAGACATTAGCGTTGGTGGCGCACACCTTTAATCCCAGCACTTGGGAGGCAGAGGCAGGTGGATCTCTGTGAGTTCGAGGCCAGCCTGGTCTACAAGGGCTAGTTCCAGGACAGCCTCCAAAGCCACAGAGAAACCCTGTCTCAAAAAAAAAAAAAAAAACAAAAAAAAAACAAACAAACAAGAAAGATATTAGACATTGAAGTACCAGGACAGAGATCAGCTTATAGACAAAGCCAAATATTTACTTACTAAAGCACACCTCAGGTAAATATCTGTTTAATAAGTACACAAAGATGTAAATAACTATTACCTTTTCTTCATAGTTTTGAAATTTAAGATGAATTACTCATTTAAAGTAGAAAGATCCTGTCTTGAAAGAAGTCAGCTCAATCCACGAAGTATGTTTTGTCCATATGAAAATGTTTTAAAATACTTTTTCTTCTCTCTTCCCCTCTCCCCTCTCTCCTTATCTATGTATTTTCCCCCCTGTCTCACCTCTATATACACTACCCAGCACCAGTAGGATGGGATAGTAATTCACTGCTGTTTCATACATATATATATGTGTGTGTGTGTGTGTGTGTGTGTGTGTGTGTGTGTGTATAATATATAATATACACATACACACACAATGCATGCATACATACATACATACATACATACATACATACATGTATATTTATTCGTTGTAGCCCTGGCTAGCCTGGAACTCACTATGTAGACCAGGGTGACCTCAAAGTCAGAGTTTCATCTGCCTCTGCTTCTTGAGTGCTGGGATTAAAGGTGTGCATCACTATGCCCAGCTAACTTTACATTTGCTGTATCTTTTCTCTTCCCTCCCCTCCTCTCTCCTCCCGTCGTCTTTCCTCTCCTCTCTTCCCTTCTCTTCGCCTCCCTTCTCCCTTCCCTCTTCTCCTCCTCCCCCTTCCCTTCATATCCTCCCCTCCCCACCTTTCCCCTCAATTTGCTCTGTAGTACTGGGGATTGTAACCAAAGTTTCATTTATGCTAGTTAATTGCTATACTACTGAGCTATACCCAACTTGCCGGTTTTTATAAACATGAGTCAACACAGTGTCGTAACATTGTAAGTAGGTAAAGAACCAGGAGAAGACAGACCAAGGATATTTTAAATGTGTCAATTAAAGCTCACCAGGGTCTTTTGAAGGACTCATAAGAACATGCATGTTTTGCTCTCATATTAACTAATGCTTGATCCCAGTTCTCTGTATGACAGTTGAGTTATGTCTTTAAGGGATAAATGATGAGGACAAGCGATAGAAATGGGACAGACAGTACAGGGTTAGGGGCTTCATTTTGTGTCCTTGGCCATAAGTTGAAGATCTCCTGGGTTCTCTGGCCAGGGATGTCAGAAGGGAGCTTTGGTGTCTTAGCTGAACACACACCTCCCTGGAAGGCTGAATTCGAGGATGAAACTGAAATTTCACTCCTGACATTAACCCTTCAGGTTAATACCAGATCTCTAGATTTTCATGGTAGAAATGGTTTGTGTCTTTTACAGTTTTATCCCATCTCCTCCATGATCTTAAGGTTTCCTCCCCAGAGCACAGAATGTTACAGTAAACAGTGGAATCTGGCTTTAGACATGCAGTTGTCTCCAGTTGAGCCTTCAGTCACTTGGCTAAGGGACCACTCATCGAAGGCAGGAGGACAAAGGACAGGATTTACGGAGCCGTCTGCCAGTGTTGTTCGTGCATTAGCTAGTGCAGGTCTTCCTGTGTAAGAGGGCGCCACGGCTCTGAGTAGTGATCGTGTGGAGAAGGGGTAGAGTCAGAATCAAGTCTTCAGACTTTAATTTTACTCCTTGCAGTTTCCATCGACCCTGTAACAGATTTCGTGCTGGAGGCCTGTATTGTGCGTGTTGGCCTGTGGTGCCTTAAATTTAAAAGAGCTGCTAATATTGAAGAACCAGGGGGTTTCACATAAAACCTCTGCTTTCTGGCTTTTCTTGAAAAAACTGTGAAGATCTGGCCAAAAGCCCAGAACCAAATAGTAGCCACCTCCTTCAGCCTGACTGTGGTCTTCGTTAATCTCAGGCTTCCACAGCCTTTCCTCATTAGTGTCCATCTGTCAGATCCCCTGATGCCCGTAAATTAAGGATTTCTACTCTGCTCTGTGTCTGCCTCTGGAGCCACTTGACATGGTGGGAAGGGCACTGTAGATGGGGCTATTTTATTTCCATTTGGGATTTAGTCAACGATGAAAGTTTTCAGCACTTCTAATGAGAATTTGGATCTGGAAGTAATCTGTGCCATTGTTAATACCCACAGCACTCGACGCTCCTGCATGCTGCCAGGAGCTCACACATGCTTGCCTTCAGTTGAATTGAAACCTCTTATTGTCCAGAGGGGAAATGGGCTCAGGGAGATTAAAGTGGCTTGCTGGAAGTCATAGGTGAGCTGGATACAAAGGAGGAGCAGAGCATGGAGTTCTTTGCTGTGGGAGCAGACTCTCAAACAGGCTCAGGCCTGATTCTTTAGACCCTGTTTGGTTTCAGGCTCAGAAAAGTCTTTCTCTCCTCCTTCTCCTCTCCTTCCTCTCAGTACCCTCCTCTTTCACATCTCCTTTCCTTCTTACTTTTTTTTTTTTTCCCTGAGAGACAGAGTCTTTCTAAAGCAACTGGAACTCACTCTGTAGACCAGGTTGGCCTGGAACTCACCGAGACCTGCCTGCCTCTGCCCTCAGTGCTGTAACTGAAGTTGTGTCCACCACACCTGCCCTCTCTTCTTCTTTCTCTTTCACTCATTTCGCTCTGTAGACCTGGCTGGCTTGGAAATTTTGACTCCCCCGACTCAGACTTCGGTGTATCTTGAATTAGAGGCAGGTGCCTGTTGATAGGATTATTTTTCAGTTTAGAATAATGTCTATGAATTGTTTTATTAACTAACTAGCTATAATTGTAAGATCTTTTTGAAAATAATTTGTAACTTTTAGGTTATATCTGAAAGTAATACTTAAAAACTTTTGAAACTGTCCCATTTTGCAGAGGCACTGAAATGCTTCATTTGGCTGTGCTGCATTCTAGAAAGCTCTGTGTCTACTCTGTCTCAGGTAAGAGAATTTTCTTCTCATGTGGAGTTTATGTCACAAATTGATAAAAGAGTCGATACTATTTTGGGAGTGAATATAAAGTGTTCATGTGAGGATTTTCTCACCTCTGTTACCCTTCCCCACCACTCATTATTGTTTTGTATACATTTTCTTGGCCCACAATTCCTGTGTATTCTTGTTTTTTGTTTTTTGTTTTTTTTCTTTTTCCCAGAGTGTTTCTTATAGTCTCTTTGTTGTTAGGAATTGTGTCCAGAATAGCTTGTGACCAACTTGAGTGGTTCTAAGTCCCTCATGAATCAGTTCATCAGCTTAAACATGCTCAACAATGGCACTTCATTAGCTGTTGAGTCCGAGTAGTTTGAAATGTCCTTTCCTTGGTCAGCCGTGGTTGTTTTCTCTTTTTAGTTCCAGTTTCTTGGCTTCTTCTTATCTTCATTCAACCAGACCTGGAGACACTTAATTTTGAGATTAAATTTAGTTTTGGTCCCTGATGTGGTCCCATGGGTACATGTTTAGTATGTGGTTTCATGAACTTTGATTTCAGCATTTTGGCCCTTATTAAAATTGAGGATTGTGGTAGTTTGAGTGTAATTGCCCACATAAGCTCATCGGGAGTGGCACTGTAAGGAGGTGTGGCCTTGTTGGAGTAGGTATGGCCTTGTTGAAGGAAGCTTGTCACTGTGGAGGTGGGCTTTGAGATCTCATATATGCTCAAGTCATGCCCAGTGAGACAGACCACTTCCTGTTGCCTGAGGATCAAGGTGTAGGACTCTTAGCTCCTTCTCCAGCACCATGTCTGCCTGCATGCCACCATAATGATAATGTACTACACCTCTGAAACCATAAGCCACCCAATTAAATGTTTTTCTTTATAAGAGTTGCCTTGGTCATGGTGTCTCTTCACAGCAATGGAAACCCTAACTAAGACAGGGATCTTTTAGGGGCAAAAATCTATTAAGTTTTAAAGGCAATCTTGGTATCAAGGGGTTTGGTCTATGCTAGAGAACAACTAGAAATTGATGGGTGGCAATGAAGCAGTTGACAGTTGACTTATTATTATTGATTAATTGATTGATTAATTTTTGAGAAAGGGTCTCACTAGTAGTACAGGTTAGTCCAGACTCACCATGTAGCCCAGGGTGGCCTTTGCTGGATAATTCTCCTGTCTCTGTGTCCAGGTGCTATGATTACAGCTGTGAGTCACTTTGTCCTGTGGCAGGGTTTTGGTTGTTGCCCTCTTTATAAGAAGTCTGACAGAGTGCATGCCACAGGTGCCATGGTGAGATGTGTTCCTATATGGCCATGGTGATGCTTGCCTACAGTCCTACCACTTTGGAGCTAAGGCACTGAGAGTTAGAGGCCACCATGAGTTACACACAGAGGCTTTATCTATGTAGAAAAACTAAAAGGGTATAATATAGGTTACTCTATTTTATGGATTTAGTTCTTTTTTTTTCTCTTTTGGAGATAAGATCTAAAAAATTTTATTCTTGGGGCTGCAGAGATGGCTTATGGGTTAAGAGCCTGGTTTCTCTTCCAGAGGACCTGGGTTTAATTCCCAGCACCCACACCATGGCTCCAACCGTCTGGAGTTACAGACAGTTGGAGACTGTCTGACAACTTCTTCTGGCTTCCATGTGGTCACAGACATACAAACAAAGCACCCTTATAAATAAAATAAAAATCAACAGATAGAAAAGTTTAAGAAGTTATTCTTTGGTAGTTTCCCACATAATTACAGTGTGTATATGTCATATCCACATCTTTGAGCAGAACTGACTCCCTGTTCCTAGTGGCCATCAATTGCCAACAACTCCCCAGCTGCAAGCAGGGCCTCATGACCCCTCTCTTTCCATGTTGGAGTGTTGATTGGCTTGATCTTGTCCTGCAGCCACAGCTGCTGTGAGTCCATGTGTGCAGTAGCGTGGTCCAGAAGACTGTGTTTCATAGCATCCTTCACCCAGCTTTTGGCTCTTAACAGGGTATTTGCCTCCTTGTTATTGATGTTTCCTGAGCCCTGGATTATAGGGGAGGACTATGATACAAATGTCCTATGTAGGACTGAACATTCCAGTCACTTGTTCTCTCTGTTTTGACTAGTTTTGAGGCAGGATCTTACTTCTTATGCTCAAGCTGACTTGTATCTCACCCTGTGTTCCAGTCAGCCCAGAAAATTAGTGGGCCTCCTGTTTCTACCTTTCAGGTGCTGGAGACTCAGGCTTAATTTCTTTTGACTTTGATAAGTTTATTAACTGGATGTGATACTTTACTATCTGGTTTTCACAGGCCATGGAAGAGAACTTGCCTGGAGTTAGTTACTCCCCATCTTAGATACTTAGTTCCTTCCGGACTGTGTAAGGAGAAGGTGTCTTAGAACCTGCAAGTTAAATTAGACTCTGGGCCTTCCTTGGCCCATTTAATTTATGGCTGGCAAGACAGAGGCTTATAAAATAGTGCTGGGTGCACAGCATGGATTAGGGAGTGATGGGGAATGTACTGTGTATGTTCAAAAAAGGGGGGGAATAGGATATAGGAATGAATACTTTGCATTGGTATGGTATGGATTTTCATTTATTGATACAACTTTAAGGTCAATTTTGTGATATGTATATGTCTCCTCTCATTTAGGTATTGTGTTTATACAGATCTTTTAAAATGATATGCATAATTAAATACAGGTTATATAATCACCTATGATAGTCAGAACTTATAATTAGGTTAGTTAGGTCTTCTAGATATACAGAGATGTATTTGAGATGGATAGGTATTCTTCAAACCTTTCAAAGACCTACAGAAATATGGCATTTAAATGGTTTAGGGTTTTTCTTGGCAGTGAGATACAACTGCTTCTGGCACATCAATTATGTCAGAAAGGAGGATGGGCATCAAAGAAACTCATTATGGAGTTTGCTTTCAACATGGCAAGATTAGCCATTTGGGCAAGAAACTGCTCTTGCCTGAACTGTTTGTTACAGTATAAGCTGGACATACAGACCCACAAGAAAGGGACTGCTGAACTTACAAAACAAGACAGTACTGAAGGGTTCCTGTTGAAATGGAGAAGTGTGCCAGACACACTGTGGCCTAAAGGCTGATGATGGATGCCCCAACGTTACAGAGGAACTTGAATGACTGTCTAGGTATCGAGATGTCTCTGTCAATTCTAGAGTTTATGTACTATCCTTCTGTGATCTTTGATAGAGTTGAAGACAGATATGGTTATAGTTTTCTTCAGTTATTATAAAAGATAAGTTATCTTTCTTTTTATTTAGACAGAAAAGAGGAGATGATGGGGAATGTACTATGTATGTTCATCTTATTGATTGTTGAATAAAGTACTTGTTTGGCCAATGAAACAGCAAGTTAGAGAGGTCTAGGAGTCAAAGAGGATTCTGGGAAATGTAGTAGAGAAGTGGTGATCCTGGCCGGAAGTGACATAGGAAGGAGAATCATATTTGAGCAAGGAGAAACAGGAAGTATCCCTTTTCCCCTTCCTCCTCCAGCAACTCCATGTGAGCCACCAGCAAGAGAGGGTGCCAGCGAAAGGCATCCTCTATAAGATAAGTTTTATAAAATATATAGGTTTATGATAATTAAGGCTGAGCTAACAGATGAGAAATCCTAGTCATTGGCCAAGCAGCATTTGAACCTAATACAAGTTTCTGTGTATTAATTTGGGCCCTACCTCAGGTGGGTGGCTGGCGTAGAGCACACATGTGGCAGTAGGGCTCGGGTGGCTTTTGGTGGAAAGATTTATTATAACAAGGGAGAAATGGTGTTTATTCAAAAGCTCAGTGAAGAAACTTGCTTGGTCACAATTTGTGGGAAATTGATGTCTTCCTTTGAGCTAGTGTTGAAATAAGAGTCATTTGCTAAGGAAATGACAGTGTCATTTCTCTTTTATTTTGTGCATTCATTAAAAAGTTTTATATTCCCTGGAGACCAGGAATTGTCTAAGCCACATTTTCCTATGGTCACCTTATTCCCTGCCTTTAATTTCTGTTAGTCTTTTGTAATATTCATAGGCTGACAGTTTGTGTGCTTTTCATGACTTGGCTTAAATTCATAAGCGCAAGGAATTAATGTTTTTGTTCTTTTGGTGACATTTCTTGAGGTTCCAGGCTGAACTTTCATCTAGCACCCATGGTCACAGGGGAAGCACAGACATTTCCAGCTTAAGTAAAATGGTGGGTGCCGGCAAATGAAAGCGTTAGCTGGCTTTGACATCCTCTTCCCTAGCTGCTCTCTCCCTAAGTTATTTTCCTCCCCCTTTTATTTTTATTTTATTTTGTTTAGAATTGAATCCAGGACCTTGGTACACTTTCATTAGAATCTTTTGTAGTTGACATGCTTCTGAAACAGATTGGAAGTGAAGTGCATTCTTTGACGTCATTTTCTTGGATGTAATAAATAGCCCCATAGAGTTAAGGGCAGACTTCTTTAAATGTATGTGTAATACAGAGCAACACAGGGCTCCTATATTCTTTCTGTTTCTCTTCCCCAACTTTCCCTCTTCTGAGTAATGTAGCCCAGGGTGGCCTCAAACTTGTGATTTTCCTGCCTTAGCTTCCTGGGCTCTGTGATTACAGGTGTGTGCCAACACATCTGGCTTAGATTCTCTTCTGATAGGCTTCAGTTTCTGAGCTGAGATGTTTGAATTTAATTAAAAAGAAAATGAATCTCAAAAAATGTGTGTTTATGTGTATCTGTGTTTGAGTGTGTGCATGTGTGTGTGAAGATGCCCTTGGACTCCAGAGGGAGGGCATCAGATACGCTGGAACTGGAGTTCCATGTGGTGGTGAGCTGCCTGATATGTGTTCTCGATCCTCTGTAGCACCAGCAAGTGCTGTGCTCTTAACTACTGAGCTATGAGCCAGTGATTAAATATTCTTTTCCAAAAGTTATGCATTCCACAATAAACATTTATAGGTATCTGACTTATGTATAGAATTTAGATGATTGCTATTGGAAAAGAAAAAGATGTCACCCTTTGTTTTTCC